CAAGCGACTTAAGACTGGTTTTGTGGTCCAGGGTCACACACATATATATATATATATATATATATAGTCCGGACCTCCACTGTGAAGGAAATATAGAGACCGGACCTCTTGGAACTTTAATTGAATACCCCTACCTAGGGTCTTAATGAAAAGTCTATGACATACTTTGGTTAAAATTTCTCAATGGTAGTGTAAAACAAAACCCTATTTACCCTGTCAAAAACAGCTCTGTTCACAGCGACTCGTTTGGGTGCATGTCCCTTTAAATGCTAATGAGCTCTGCTCACCCCACCCCTCTCTTCCATGGGGTGACGAGCCATTCTCTGAGACTCTAAACTTTAGCCACATTCGTCTCTGAACTTGCTAACTAGCACATTATTGGGAAAGGCGATTTGCAAAGATTCATAAAAAACCTTATACTCACTTCTTCTGTAGGTGAAGCTGGATCACGAATGATTCGCGTGAACACAAACGCATTTAGGTAGATCGGGGACGCATTCCCTTCAGAAACAAACATAATTCACTGGGTCTTGAGCAGCTCAGATGTCGGGAGTAAATGACGACTGCTATGTTCATTATTACATCCAACAACAGAACACCTCAATCGCTTAGGAGTCATTCTTGTCTACATCTGCTCTGGCGGTGAAACAATGGCGGATGACAGCTCACTCAGGGCGGAGCTAAGGTAAGACGCCAGTGTCAGTCATCAATCGTGGGAGGGGCCTGGGTCTGTGTGACATCACACTGGCAGGAATCGGAGAACGGCTTGATTTGAGAAAGGGGTAATGATTTTAGGAGATTAAAAAAAGCACTGGGTGGATTTTTATCATTATAGGGTGATTGTGTACACACACTGCCATCACACATTTATGTTCAAACAACATGTAAAAGTGCATTTCGCATCCGATGACCCCTTTAAAACAAGAACAAATGTCTGCCAATACGCCCAGAAAAACCAACTTCATTTAAAGAAAAAAAACTGTTGCATTGACAGATATTGGTTCTTGTTGTAAGCATAAATTCACTTACTTTTGCTACATTTTTCAGAAAAGAAGACTTCATGTCTTTAATTTGCATTTCAAGTAAACATTTTGATTTAAGGATATTTTTATATTTATATTGAAAAACAAAAATACTGAGAATGACATTAATTTTTTGCTTTGCATGTGACATTTAATGCCATGACTTTATGAATTTAAGACTTTCTGCTCTGATATAAGAGCGTTTAAGGCCTTAATTTATGAAAATGCAGATTAATACTTTTTAAGACCCACAGAAACCCTGATAAAAACCACAGAATGGAATATCCTCATTTTTTGTCTGACCCTTATAATGGAAGAGTGTTGTTTGTCTCTGGGTTGTTCATGTCATTTTCTCCTGCTTTCATCAGGTTCATCCTCAGTAATGTCTCTGTATGTGTTAAAGCTATCGTGTCTCATCAGCTAATGGTTTCTCAGCAGATCCTCAGGAGTGTTTGCGTCTCCTGTCCATGAACCCTTTATGATTCAGCACTGATGAATCACTCACTATCAGAAACAGAGTCAGGTTTGATTCCACACAGCAGAAATGAGCAGAGATCAGACTCACTGGGGACTCTGTTGATGGCTTTGAGCGGCCGCAGGACTCTCACCGTCCGGATGGCCGTCAGGTTGATGTTCTGCAGGTCCAGAGAATACTCCACCACCCTGAACACACACACACACACACGATATAAACACACAGCTCATCTGTGTACAGTCTAACACAGTACAGGTGGTGTATTATACATTTATTCTTCAGCACTGTTTGTTCTGAAGCTCCTCAAACACACACACAGCTTCTCTGAAGATCTCTGACAGCTGATCATACGCTCAACATATTTACATACTGTACATGCAGACACACACACACACACACACGTGTCAGAGATCTCCATCTGTCCTGCATTTACACACTGATCAGGAGATCTGCCATCATACAGAACACAGACTAGACACAAATAAAACACACAGTGTAACAGAAGAGACCGAGATGAATGAGTGAGATAGTCTGCTGTTTGACACTCAGTGAACACATGAACTGATCACACATACACAATCAATGCCAAATACATCAGTGTAATCAATGCATTTCAGTCGCTGCAGATCAAAACAAACTGTGTGCTGTCTGTAGGTTTAATGAGTGACGTTAATGCTGTAAAACCACAAAATAATATAACATTCAAAAGTTTGTGGTTGGTAAGATTTTTTTTTTTAATGTTTCTGAAAGAAGTGCCTTCTGCTCACCAAAGCTGCATTTATTTGATCAAAAATACAGAAAAAAACTAATTATATTATGAAATAAAGTAATTGTTTTCTATGTGAATATCTGTTAAACTGTCATTTATTTCTGTGATGCGCAGCTGTATTTTCAGCATCATTACTCCAGTCTTCAGTGTCACATGATCTTCAGAAATCATTCTAATATGCTGATTTGCTGCTCAAGAAACATTTCTGATTATTATCAATGTTGGAACACAGTTGAGCTGCACAATATTTATGTGGAAACTGATAAAGTTTATTTTTCAGGACTCAAAAGAACCGCATTTATTTGAAATAGAAATCTTTTGTAACATTGTAAATGTCTTTACTGTCACTTTTGATCAATTTAATGTATCCTTGATGAATAAAAGCATTAATTTCTTTTGAAAAAAATTGAATGATGGTGTGTCTTTTATACTAAATTTCACAATTATATTATTATAGCACAGCCTTATGGATTTTACACAGTTTGTCAGTGTTAACAGCATAATTCATTCTGAATGGAGAAACTCCAGAGCTCCTGAATCACTGCTGATCTGAACTGAGAGCATTGAGTTACTAACACACATCACGCTTCATCAGCTCAGCACTTCAGGAATCAAACTCCTGTAATGGGTTTGTTTGAGCGCTGAACTGAAGAGTGTAACGGTTACCGTCTGAAAGCTCTCTGTGAGTGAGTGAGTGAGTGAGTGTGTGTGTGTGTGTGTGC